CTGAGTCTCTTCTGACATCCATTTTGGTCTTTTCTTCCTTTCCTGCCGTTTTTTTTTTTTTTTTTTTTTTTTTTTTTTTTTTGAGTGAAAATTTGTTTAAAAAATTTGTTTTGTTTAAAAAACAAAGTTATTTGTACTTATCTCTATCTATTGCAAAGTCATGAACAGAATTACAACTTAAAACTGTACTGACTCTGAAGTTCCCAACTCTGGAAAGGTCATTCATATAACAGAAAGAAATACAGAACCATATTTTATACTATTTCAATAACCAGAAAAAAAAGGAATCAAGGTTGAATACAGTGGGAAAGTAAGTACACTAGTTGTTGTTGCTAGCTGCCATCAATTAGTACTATTTATTTGAACACCTTTTAGAATAAAATTTAATTTACCTCTGATAAAGCTGAAGAAAAATGATTGCAGTTTTTATGCATCAAATGATACGCATTGCCTTTGTATTCTTTTCCCAGTTCTTCTACAATTTTTTCTATGTCATCTTCTAGGAAGTCCGTGCTCCCTAAAACAACAGCTTCTCTTAAGAAACAAAAAAAGAAAAAAAAGAACAAAACTGTGTGAGATTTATGTATTATAAGCACCTTTTAAAACTTGCTTATTCCCAAGAATATTATGATTGATTAGCAAAGCAGGGTCGATGTAATAAGACTAAAAAGTAAATGAGATATGGTTTTCATCTCAATTATTTTAGTTTCTATTTTTCTGGGGGAAAAAAAAAAAAAAGAAAAGCTGTTAAGTATACTACTTCTGGTAATATCAGAAGTTTAGTTTTTTCACAAGTACTATTATATTAGTAATTATATTACTAAATAATCAGGTCTATGCTGCAAAATATTCTTGTTTAATTGCATGCTTGTGATCAAGGGGCTGACCATATTCTCAGAAAGAACACTTTTAAATTATCTGCCCCCTGTGCTGCAGGAGATGGAACTATCAGACTTGACTAATTTTTTTTTTAAACATTATCAAAAAACAATGACAACTGCCTTGGAAATGCAACAGACATTACTGAAAGTAGAATTTTAGTTGGATACAAGTTAGGTGGCAAGTGGAATTTTAGGTAGGTATCCAACTCACTAAAAAAACCCAAACTCATTGCCATCGCCTCAATTCTGACTCACAGCTACCCGCTTTGGGTTTCTGAGGCAGTAAATCTTTACAGAAATAGATTGCCCAGTCTTCCTTTCATGGAGTGGCTGGTGAGTTTGAATTGCCAACTTTCCAGTTAGCAGTCAAATACCTTAGGCACTGTGCCACCAGAGCTCCTGTAGGTACCCAATGACACTGAAAATACTCAGAAAATCCTTTTCTCTAGTAGTCCTGCCAAAAGTGAAACAGAGACTAAGGAGTGGATTCAACAAGGAATTAGACCACTCCAGTGTTAAGCTAAGAGGACCATGAAATAAATGCTAAAAATGAGTATCCCTCTACTAAATTCAATGGTATAACCCTGTTTCATTATTAATTTTCATATGGTAAGTTTTTTATAGGCCCAAAAATTTCTTTAAAGCTTGTTGAAACTAAGATTCTAAACATCAATTTAAATTTAAACCTTACTTAAGGAAATCTGACTATAAGCATTCAGATTTTGACTGTTATTTCAAATTTGTTAAATGTTCCTTTCATCAGAAAGATTTTTAATAGTGGCAGGAAATAATAAAACTTTTCTCCTTCTCTCTGCAAACAGGAGATTTGGGAGGAGGGGGAAGTCATTTGATTCAAGTCTTCTAAAGAACTGGAGTTATAGAAAAGTAAAATATTTGAAAAGTAGAGAGAATAATTCACATGGATCTTGAATAAAAGCAATAAACTAGATTATTTCAATCACTTTATTTGGCTGATTTCCATCTATACACAACAACTTAGACTACTTGTAAAACAGTGTCAGCAATTAAAACAACATTTCAACTTGCTAGATTTTAAACTACAGGATGAATTCTGTATGCCTGAAAATAAGCTTTGGCATCTGAGACAGTGTAATAGAAATTATCCTCCCTACTTACTTAAATTTAAATGTTTCTCCTAGTTCAGAAGCATTTCCTGGGGAAATTTCAAATATTCCAGAAAAAGGGTAAGGATGGCCACCATAAGCAAATTCTGAAAAGAGAAAACTCATGATTTTTAGTATTTATCACATAAAATTTAACTAGAATGCTAAATTAGCTTTAATAAATGAGGATAATAATATCACCTAAATATTTTTTTAGTATAAAAATGTGTTCACAAACATCTCATTTAGCTATTACTAGTATAAACCGTTGATGCAAAAGACCTGAAACTCAAATACTTGAAAGACACTCAAAGGTAATCATGACTGCTATATTCACTATGTTTATATTGGCAACAGGGGGTGACTAACACTCAAAGATAAATGCAGTTTTTCTGCATATCTATGCCAAACTAGGTAAGGGTTCAGATTTGCCACTTTCTAAATTAAAGGGATCTAATTTCAAGCTCATACTTCACTGGAAAAATTATCTAGTAACAGTTGAGTTTTCATGGTTCCTAGGATGAAAACCTCTGGATTATCCTTCAGTAAGAGTGAATCATTAGCAAACTCAGAAAACTGATTCAATTCCCCTTATTCAAGAAAAACTGAGCTGCCAAATTAATATATACCCTCCTATACACAGATACCCCACTCCCACCCCCCAGGAGATCTTTCAGCTAGGGAGGAACTATTTGTACTACTTGTATTTCTAAGGTTCAGTGAAAGCATGCTCTTGTTCAGAACAAAAATGGAGAATGCTTCTAAATCATGGCTATAATCCTGGCATCTCACTTAGATATTTAAGTGGCTAATTATTAGCGGACATTTTAAAAAGAATTCAAACATCTGCTTAATCGCATCACCTAGGATTTATTAAATATATTCTTCCAAAACCAACCAAACTCACTGCTATCGAGTCGATCCAACTCATAGCAACCCCTCCTTGGGTTTCCGAGGCAGTATCACTACGGAAGTAGATTGCCCAACCTTCCTTCCAAGGAGTGGCTGGTGGGTTTGAACCGCGCCATCTGGTTAGCAGTCAAATGCCTTAGGCACTATGCTACCAAAAAGGTCTTAAATTGAAACATGGAAAAGAACGGTAGATACTAAGTTTACTTTTTATTCCATCACGTCAAAGAAAAAATGATGTAGGTAAGTAAAGTTAAAAGGTTCTATTATATTTTAAAAACATTCTTTAAATTTTATGAATGAAAAGAAAGTATTTAACATTCAATTTGGAAATATGATGTTTTTATTTTTTTAATGATAGAATTCTATAAAATATTACAGATAATTAGGTTGGATATAAAAATTATATTTTAGTTTTTAACTTTCTCAATTTTTGTAAGAAAAGTCATAGATTCATTTACTTGTTTATTCAAGACACACTCACTCACTTGGAGGAATGTATTTGGCCCTGGTTTTGCTAAGCTTATATAAATGGCTATATCAGTAGACAGCTTCCTGCAGGTTTGAGCCTTGGTTTCTTCATCTGAAAAATGGAGGAAATGTCACAGTCCCTTGTCTACTTCACAATATGGTGTGTGGTTCAAAACGTGATGGCCCTTTAAAAACTCTGACACATCACACAAATTCAAATGAAAAAGGACTACATAAAGAACTTCAGCAAAAGCCAAATCAAAATGAGTGGAAACCCACAGACTAAAATTCTACCCATAGCAATACTCCAACCACTGAAAGTTTCAGTAAGAGTCCTTCATTGCTTTTTGGGATTACTTGGTAGATGTAGCCTTTCAAGAAAAATGGAGTTTTTGTGTAATCGACATTACATGCTGAACTGAACCTAAAAGCAGATAATACGGAATATAAAAAAGGAGTATTATAAACATAACTGACATATTTAAGTAAATGGACTGTCTACCTGAAGCAAAAAGAGGCATTTCTGCTACAGAGTGAGTTTATGATTTCTAACTAATATATTATCACAAACCACACCAAATCAAACTCACTGCCATCAAGTCAGATCCGACTCATAGCGACCCCGTCTTAAGTTTCTGAGGCAGATCACTACAAAAGTAGACTGTCCGACCTTCCGTCCAAGGAGTGGCTTGTGGGTTTGATCCACCAGCCTTCTAGTTAGCAGTCACATGACTTAGGCACTATGCCACCAGAGCTCCAATATTATCACAACCCTAATGAAATCAGCAATGTGGCTGGCCATATACAGACCGATGCTGGGTACAACTTGATCAAGACTAGATTTTCTTGCACCAAGTGTGAGAAGTAATACAAAGGAAAAAGCTATTGAAAATACAGCTGATTGCTTTGAGTGGTTCATGTCTTGTTTGCTGCAATAAAGATAATAAAAAATGAAAAGGGCTGAATTAATGACAAAGGCCATCATTCTTGAGCAAAGAGCTAGATCAAAGACTGGATTTGCTCAGTGATACTTTTAAGACTTTATAATATACACTTACAGCTATATTAAAACAAATTTATTACTGAAATTCCCTCAGGAAATTAGTATTCAAAATTAGTATTTCAAATTTGACACTCTCTAGCACCAACCCTTTCTCAAAACCAAAATGACTGTTTCTAATCATGCAATTTTTCAAAGTGCAAGGTTTCTTAGAAACTCAAGTGCATGTAAGAACAAAACAAATTGTCATGGCATAACAATTCCAAAAGGATAATTTTTAAGACATACTATTATGTCAAAATGAACATATACTCTTGGGTTTTGGGTACTTTCTCCTCAAATACAAACTATTTTGGGCATTTTCCGAAAACACAGTATAAACAAATATGGGAATATTTTCTTCTACTTTTAGAAGCTATTTTCTTCTAACGTATGTGAGTAGTAAAACAAGAAGAAAAAAATATAGTACAATTTTGCAACTCCTTGAAAGGACTATGTGTACACGTACCTCTTCCATATACTTCAATTCCTGAATGAAAAACTCCAATTCCAATGGATGAGGTGTATTCATTCATCCAGTACTAAGGAAAACAGAGAGAAAGGGTTCAGAATACCTGTTCACTTACAACTGAACTCTGTATTATAGGAAACAGCTACTTCCCAAATTTCACTGCCATTTAGGCATTTTCAAATCCATTTCTATTACAATTCTGAAATTCCCTTGATAATAAGCCATCGGATTCTATCTCTGACTTTGCTTATGCCACACCCCATATGGAATGCCTTTCTTGGTCAAGACTAATGGTTCAATTAGTATACACACATTATCAAGGGCTTGGAGTATAAGCCACAAAACCTAAACCTGGTTAGATGTTAGAAAAGTAACTGACTGAGTTGAAGTCTGATAATGACAATATAACAGGAATAAATAATGTGTCACAAAGGTTAGAACAATCTTACTCCTTGGAAAAAGGTATCTGAAGTATCTGAAATAGCTCTTTAGGAGCAAATGGAATTTTACTTTTTTTGGGGGGTGGGGGGCAGGGGGCAGGGTGCCAGGTAATGTGATATAAAATTACAGGAGATGACTGAATCGGTTAGAAGGATAAACTGGAGGGAATTAAATCTAGAAGTAAACGAGTTAACAGCTCAATAAACAAACATACATAGGTAACACATAACAGTGGTAACAAACATACTAGATTCTTCTAGGTTCGAGTGTGGATAATTTCTCTTTACTTTACCTGTGTCTATTTAAACTTTAACCTTGGTTCCAAAACCCTAGCCAGCTTCTCCAGGGTTCAAACTTCCTAAGCCCAGAAAAGCAAACATTTTTACACATAGCTGAAGGGACCATAAATGGAAAAGTCATTTTTATACCCCTAAAGTTTACCTAGTAGAAAAATTTAAACAATAATAAACAAGAAACAGAACAAAGGATGGTTCTATCTAGATATCAACATATTATTTAAAAATATCATATAGTACTGTTGCAGGAACAGGTCAATGGAATGTAATAGAAATCTTGGAAACATAGCCTCGTATATGTAAGAATTGGTATACAATAAAGGTGGTATTTAAACTTAGTAAGAATAAACGATTAAAAATATGTCGACAAATTGATTTGGCACAAAAGTAAATTCCACGTATCTAAAAAATTCCAGTGTATCTGAAACCAAACCAAACTCACTGCCACTGGCTGGACTGTGACTCATAGCAATCCCTATTAGGTTTCCAAGACTGTAAATCTTTACGGAAGCAGATTGCCCCATTTGTCTTCTGCAGAGCGGCTGGTGGGTTCAAACCACTGACCTTTTGGTTAGCAGCCAAATGCCTTAACCACTACACCACCAGAGCATCTTAAACCAAACACATACTGGAAGAAAATAAAGTAGATTGAAAGAAATCTTAGATGGCAAAAGCCAACCTAAGGAAAGTAAAATCTGGAATTTATAGAGGAAACATCAATAGAAAGTCTATATAAATATTTATATATTTTTATTGAATAAAGCTATATATTGTTGCTGTTGTTGTGTGCCGCCCAGTCAACTCCTACTCCTAGCAACTCTATAATAGGACAGAGTAAAACTGCACATAGGGTTTCCTGTTGTTGTTGTTATGTGTTGTTGAGTCAGACCCAACTCACAGCAACCCCTCCTTGAGTTTCTGAGGCAGTATCACTACGGAAGTAGATTGCCCAACCTTCCTTCCAAGGAGTGGCTGGTGGGTTTGAACCGCCAGCCTTCGGGTTAGCAGTCAAGTGCCTTAGGCACTATGCCACCAGAGCTCCCATAGGGTTTCCTAGGCTTATCTTTATTGGAGCAGATCAGTAGGTCTTTTCTCCTGAAGAGTTCCTGGCAGGTTTGAATTGCTGACCCAAATGCTTAACCATTCCGTCACCACGGTTCTGTGCATAAAATTATATAAATGAGATCAAAAAGTAAGCAACATTGGGAGAGGAAATTTGTAATACATGTAACAAAGATTAGTATGAGAATACAAGTATCTGAATCTTTTTGGTTCCTGATTTTAGACTGCCAGAATTTAGATGACAAGTTAAGAAAGTAAGAGATCAGGATCATGGTCACAGGGAACATCAAGTTCAATTGGCATAACATACTACACAGAAACATTGTTTCACATCCTACTTTGATAAGTAGCATCTGGGATCTTAAAAGCTCGCAGGTGGCCATCTATATGCAACAATTGGTCTCTCCTCATTCAGAGCAAAAAAGGATGAAGAAAAACAAAGACACACAGAAACAATTAGCCCAAGGAACTGGTACACCATGTGATCCTTAGCTTATACGACTATGAGACCAAAACTAGATGGTGCTCAGCTACCACTGCCAACCACTTGGAGGGGGATCTATGTAGGAGATCTTGGATAGAGAGGGAGAACAATGTGGAACAAAACTCAAAATCATTATTAAAAAAAGAAAAGGACCAGGTTTGCTGGTTTGATGGAGCCTGGTGGAACCCCTGAGACTGTGGCCCCTAGTTGCCCTTCAGGTCTGGAATTCAAGCCACTCCCGTGGCTTCCAGCCAAATAAAACACAGGCATATGAGCTGAATATTTACATCAGGTAGATACACTCCTTGGAGAATCAATCATGGGAGAAAAGAAGGGTTGTGTATGTACAGGCAGACAGCTCAGGGGGCAGGAGTGCATGGGAGGGAAGGATATAGGGAAGAAGTGGCTATATGGAAGTGGAAGGGATGCTGCATTGTGGGAAACTGCAGTCAATGTCATGAGACAAAGTGTATGTGAACTGCTGTATGGAAGATGAATTTGCTCTGTAAACTTTCACCCAAATCATAATAAAATTTAAAAAAAAAGAAAAGAAAGTGAGGGATATGTTTTTATTTGTAGCAATTTCATTTTTTAGACAGAATAATGAGAGTATCGGTAGCAAGGGAACCATTAAAACATTTATCCAATTCTATTTAATTCTAGAATCTAGGCCACAAAAGTTCAGAAAGCAAAGGATACCTGTATATATACCTCAAGAAAAATAACCTTCATATACAAATGAGCAAGCATAGAAGAAATTACAGTGGCCAACAAATATGAAACACTAGTAAATAGGGAAATAAGAATTAAAACAATGGGCTGCCATTTTTTTTTTTTTTTTTTGTCTATCAGATTAATAAATATTAAGAATATTGTATTTGGTGTTGGAAAGGGTATGAGGAAGACACTGTGGAAATGTAATCAAGTATAGCTACTTAACTATTCCACCAAAGGCATGTTCTAGCATGTTACCTGCAGTTGTCTACAATACAGAAAAACTAGAAACAATCTAAATATGAGTAGAAAAATGGTTAAATTATGATGTATCCTTATGAAACTATCATTCAGCTACTGAAAAGAATGAGGTAACTCAATACATATGGACATGAAAAGGTTCTATTCTGTCCTAAATTGGGAGGGACAAAAGAGCAATGGGTTTTTGTTGGTTTAAGACACGTTAAGTAAAAAGACCAAGTCATAATATCTGTAGTGTGATATTTTTGTAAATAGCATTCACACATAAAATGTAAACATACATAAAAATACCTTCTGTGTGATTCTATGTTAAATGTGGAAAAACAAAGCTAAACCAACAAAAGAAAAGTCTGGAAGCATTAATTAACAGATACTACCATTTGGGAAAGGAAGTACATTGGCTAGGGTGAGAATGGAGGAGTATAAAAAGATATTTTCACACTTAGCTCCCCATTTTTCAGGACTGTCTTTCTAAATTTTAAAAAGTTTTACTGTAAGTGTTTGGTAAGGAATTTGGCCTTCTCCAAAGAGGTTTGGCTTTGTTCTTACCTCTTTTGTGGTAACTTCTAAAGCCAGGGCTTAGTGAATAGGAGTGTCTTTGTATATGTTAATGAGAAGACTTAGGGTGGGATAGTCTTGGAGGGAGAGCTCTGGTAGCATAGCGTCTAAGGCACTTGACTGCTAACCAGAAGGCTAGTGGTTCAAACCCACCAGCCACTCCTGGGAAGGAAGATGGGGCAATCTACTTCTGTAGTGATACTATCTTGGAAACTCAAGGAGGGGTCACTATGAGTCTATGAGTCGGGTTGATTGGACGGCACATAACAACAACAACAACAACAACAGTCTTGGAGGAGGAAGGAAGGGGGAGGTTTGGGGTATCAGTCTACCTAGGTGCTAAGTTCACCCATGAGGGCTGTAGGAGTATTTAAAATCTAAGGTGCTTGACAGTCTGGATGGCTAAGAAAAGAGGTAGGCCAAACTCCCATTTTGTCAGATGTTTTAGGAATATTCTAAAATTGAAGCATTCAGCATACCCAGAAATGATTGAGGGTTGAATCAATGAATGAGCTCTACACACAGGCCCCACTTTTGGTTTAAAATGGTCCAAGCAGGAAGAAGCCAAACTCCATCTTGTCTGCATCTTCCTTCCGCTTTAAAGCTATAATCCTTGTATTAATTTCAACAGTTTGCTGAACAGGCAATATGGCTATGCTTAGAAAAGTCTGTGCAAACCTAGTGAGGGTCTTAAAAACAATCTTTGCAAGAATGTGGTTATGCCTAGGCAAGTCCAGGGAGAGCCAACCAATCAGAATTTTACTGTGAAGTTCTTGCTTTTCGACTACAAATATCTCTCCTAAGTGCCACCAAACTGGAACACTTTGTAATTGCTTGATTGTTCTGTGCTACTCCAATTTGTGAACTGCCCTATCCCTCAATAAAGCTCTTTTGCTTTCACTTTAGGCAGACTCTGTGATTTTACTTTACGACAGATCAATCAATTAATCATGCCTATGTAATGAAGCTTCAATAACAACTCTGGACAAGAAACCTCCTAGAGTTGGCAATACTCCCTGTGTTTTTCACACATCCATGCTGGGAGGATAATGTGTGAGGATAACAGAAGTTTTGTGTTTGGAACCCTTCCAGACTCTGCCCTATGTTTTTCTTCCTGTGGCTGGTTTTAATACATCCTTTCCCTTGTAATAAGAAATTCTGATGATACAGTGCTGAAAACACCTGGCTGCTAACTGAAAGGGTGGTGGATCAAACCCACCAAACACTCTGCAGGAGAAAGATGTGGCAATCTGC